TCTCTTTCTCTGTCTCCACCTCCCTATATTACTTTGTAGAATTTTAACCCTCTCCCAACCTATTGTGTGGTTGTGTGTTAGTGCGTGAGGTGGGAGAGAATCTAAATTCTAAGAAGTAATATAGGTAGGTGGAGAGAGAAAGAGGTTGATTACTGAATCCTGACTGGTTCATCCAGTCTACACCCAACACATGCAATAGGAATGACTCATCACCCACACCAGAGATATGGAGAATACTACCACCAATCAAATCAAGCGATGAAAAATAAGGAAATCATATAAACCAGGTTGGGAGGTTGGGTGAGTAACTTGATATGATTATGATCAATAAATTGTGCTCGAAACGTGGTCATCAGTTAACATTACTGTATGAGAACACTGTGAGACTTTATCAAAAACAAATTTGACGCAGATGCATTCCCTCTTTGTGATTTATGAGATCCAATAAAATTCTATTGTTCTTCCATATTACTATTCTTTTCCCCTCATATCTCTGTTTATTATGTCTCTTTTAAAGCTCTCTTTACTCTCTTCTCCTGCTTTGTGTGGTAGAATTAATGAGTGTGGCAACCCAAACTGCTGGTGCACATCTGTGCAAAGTAGTTCTACGTTGAAGTCAGTCGGTCAGTCATCTTTCACACAAGTTTCTTTAACTTTAATTTCATATAACTGTTTCATTAAACAAATTGAAACTCCTTCAGTTCCACACCATATGGCTGAATAATAATAATAATAATAATAGTAAATTATAGATCCAGAGGTGTTAGATTATCTATTATTATCTATACTAGAGATCCTGTTTTTTTGCATATTTTTTTTTACGAAGTGTTTATATTTGTAATTTTAATTGTTTACACACACACACACAATGTATGCGTTTTAATGTGGATAATATTTTTTAGCAAATTTTGAGATGGTGTGATCAAAGATAGTTAATTTCACTCTAAATGTTACCATTACTGAGGCTTAATTATTGTGTGTGTGTGCATGTGTAAACAATTATTACAAGTAGACCTTTATTGATCGATTATTCCATTCCATACGACATAGATCTTTCATCCTATGTAGCTGAAATGACACACTATACTTGTCCAGCTGTGTGTGGTGTGTAGATAATATTTGAAGTGAAATATATCGTTTTCTGTACTGTCTATATATATTTTTACGAGTTGATAATGGATTAATATCAGTTAGAGAATCATTGAAAACCAGCGCTGGAGTACTGTCAGACAGCTGTTTCATCCTAGCTTGGGAATTAGTCACCATCGGGGTTCGAACCTAGGACAATCCCGTTCCAAGGCGGCAAGATAACTCTTATACCATTCAGCCACTGGGACCCGATTCCTTAATGGCCAGTCTATGAATTCTAACTTCTACGGGTTCGTGATATAGCGCGACCCCAACCAGTGTCGTCAGTGGGACATCCATCCTCACACAGTTGACTGGATGAACCTCACTGGTCACGACTTCTCACTAGAATTGCAGGAAACTCCATCCTGTAGAGCAAGTCACTAGCGAGCATCAGATTAAACTTCTATAGTTTATACACTTTAAGCTCATCAACCAGATCCTAACTATATTACTTTGGGTTGGTCCTTGGTCTGATGCAGACTGAATAATTCTATCAGTCAAGTTTGCAATACTGTCACCAGGCTGGGTGAGAGTATCACTATCGTGAATGCAGTCAGCAGGTAGGTAGGTAGCCCTGTACCTTTTTGATACGCGTGAAGTAAAACGTATAGCATACAGTCTTGAAGGGACTTTCACCGTCTCTAACCATATTGTATTTTAAAATTACTGTTGTGATTATCACACATATATGAGTAATTCCTATCTTAAATTGCATTTATCTTTGACTACCCACTTCACATCTGGTAATTCAAGGAATTCATGGTTTGCTTGCTTCCTCTAACTTCCACACAACATATGTCGTACTGTTTAAGGCGAATTGACATAAGTTTAGAGTTCATGGGGTTGGTTATTAGATTTCATTTCAGTGGCTCAATATTCGCCTTGTAAACCTGAAGATCGTAGGTGTAGATATCCGGTAGTTGATTGGGTGTGTGTGTGTGTGTGTGTGCATACTGACAAATAGCTCCAGACTAGGACAGAACAGTTATCCTGGTGATTTCCAGGGTTCAACTTGAAATAAATCAAGAAAGTTTCGTCAAATTATTGAGATTATGAGGGAGACTTTGGGGAGTGTGAAACAACAGGAGTAAATTGGATGGATAAGACTCTAGAAGGTCTGGTCTTTGCCGACGATTTATGCTCAGTGTTATACAAATTCCAAGATCTACAGGCGAAAACCAACTAGCTGACAGAAGAAGTAGACAGAGAAGACAGGACTTCAGGTGAATATAGATAAGACTGAGGTGATGAAGATAACCAACCGACAACAGCAACAACAACCAGCACCCAATCACTATCAAGGGAATAAGTTTGAAGGAAGTCAATCCCTTTACTTATCTAGAAAGCATCGTCTCATCTACAGGCGGAACAGTTGAAGACGTCAAAGCAAGGATTGGGGAGGCATGACACAGACCTTCATCACTCTAAAATCAGTTTGGAAATCTTCTGCACTAACTCAGCGTAAAGTGCAAGATTCTGACTTCCAACACCAATGTTAAATCAATTCTCGTATATGAATGGATCAGAAACTTGGTGCGCGTGTGTCACAAAAATCACATTTCCAACAGACTCTACTGTTCAGTTTTTTTATCACTGGTTCCACATTGAAGATCAAATGGCTAGTAAAAATTAGGACGAGCAAGAAATTGTGTTTGAATGAATATCTGTCGATAACCACCTATTGCTTAACAAATGTTCCGAAGAAAATGGAGGTGGGTTGGATGTCTGTCTGTCTGTTTTCGACATAGAACTTTGCACAAATGTGCGGAAGTTCAAGCCGCCACACTCCGTGTAGCATGCGAAGCAAGAGAAGAAAGTACAAGAAAAGCATAATAGAAACAGTGAGCAGAGGTGTGAGACAAAGGAGGAGTAATAACGAAGAACAAAACAGTTTCATTGAAGATCATAAGTCACAGGGAGTGGATGCATCTGCGCCACTGAGAACGGTTTTGAGCCATGTCACCAATTGTTTCCAACCATAGATTTTTACCGTCCCGAGGACCCCAGCCTGGAAGTCTACACCTTTCTACGTGGCTTAGACCAACTGTTGTGGATTTCATTGACTGGTGGGGCCAAGTTTTTGTTTGACCGCCGCTAGCTTTTTTCTAGCCTGACCCTATATCCGCTAACATTGCTCGTCGAGGGAGGCGATGACTTGGCTACGCATATGTAACACATGTCCTAACCATCTCAGTCTTTGTAGCTTCACGACTTCGTCGATTGATTTCCCCTGTTTACCTAGAACTCTACGCCTAACCTCAATGTTGCTCACCTTATTATGCCACTTTACACGGGAAATAGAACGCAGGCACCTATGATCAAAGACAGCTAGTCTTTTCATGTCTTCCACTCTCAGTGGCCAGGTCTCACAACCATAAAGGAGGACGGAGCGGACTGATGAGCAGTACACCCGCCCTTTGGTCGATAGTCGAACATCTCGTCTACGCCAGAGACGGCGTAAACTAACAAATTCGAAACGATCCCCTTGTATTCGTGCTGAGATTTCGTCAGAGATCAACCCGTTGGCACTGGCTGATGGTACTTCCCAAATAAGTGAAGCGGTCAACGTGCTCTACCACTTCACTTCCTATTTTTAAACTAGGCGTCGATGTAGTCCAGTCCTGTAACATCATCTTGCATTTGGCGGGAGCGAATCGCATGCCAAACATTCGTAGATTGCTGCTCAAGGTGTTTAGAAGACTCTGCATTTCGTCAGCGTCCTCGCCTAGAAGGACTATATCGTCTGCATATTCCAAGTCAACGAGATTATTCCCTGGTAGCAAGTCAATCCCTGAGTCGCTGAAGTCACCTAGGGTTAAGTCCATTAACACATCTATGATGAAGTTGAATAGAAAAGGGGATAATGGGCATGGGTTGGATACACGCTGAGGAGACCGTTTACTGAAACCTAGATGGGTAAATACGAGTTTGACTTCCGAAGATGACTTGGAGGAGGAGATCGTGTGAGGAGGAAATGTAGGCATATATGGGCATTCGTGTGGTGCCAGTTGAAGAGGATCGTATAGAACAGCACGGAGAAATGGAGCTGTCCTGTTGAAGTCATAAATTCTCCTCGGAACCTAAGGGAATTAGAATAATAAAAATACCGTATTGAAATTAATTTTCACATAACACTGCAGGGGGAAGTGTAATGTTCTAAAATTTTTACAGGTTTTTGAGTAGTCTTCATTTTCAGTTGTGCAGCAGGTTGGGTGTAAGTGTGATGAGAGCTGGCAGTTAGTCAGAATTGGTGGACAGTAATTTACGTCAATGTTTATGTCCCCTATATTGATCGTGAGAAAAATGAGAACAAAGGCTTTGCGTAGGCGGATACAGTTAACATATAGATGATCTGACATTCAAGAAACAGCCACAAAGAGATGCAAGGTTAACTTTCTGTGAGAAACAACTAATCAGAAGACTGTGTTTTTCTGCTAACAATAATCTATAATATTTATATGGAAATCTATAAATATGTGTTGATTTCCATAATAAACTATTTGTTTCCTGATCCTTGTCTAGCTGTTGTTACATAGGGACAAACACTTGCCGAAGACGTTGGCTAGCGGTCGCGCTGTATCGTGAATTGGCAGAAGTTAGAATTCATGTACTGGCCATTGGATCGGGTCCCAGTGGCTTAATGGTCTACGAGTTAGCTGGCCTTGTAACCAGAAGGTCCTGGGTTCGAACTCCCTGTCAGTGAGTTCCTACTGCTGAAGAGTCCTAAACTAGGCTGACGGAACATCTGGCTGTCCAGTACTCCAGCACTAGTTTTCCAATGGTGTTCTCTAACTAATATCAGCTCATGATGAAATCCTGTAACCAATCAATCAAATTGACCTTTTATCTCTTTTTATTTTGTTTCATAGACTGTGGTGGATATCTAAGTGGTAATCTAGACTCCGAGCTGTTATCACAATTGACTCAATCGACAACATCACAACATCATCGTATTTCATCTTCTGGTCTTTTCGATGATATACAACATTCTGGGTGTTGTTCAAGATATTCACAAGATGTTTTTCATTCACCATCAGATGATGGTTTTCTTTCAACACATTCGGCATCAGAAGATCAAGATCATCACCCCAGTCATCATCATCCACATCCGCATCATCAGCATTCTGTGTTCATTACTAGTGGGGGTGGTGGTTGTGGTCAGACAAATGTGGATTGTTCATCATTGCCAAACTCGTATGACTCAAATTCTATGATGAATATGCTGAGCACAGGAAATAACAATAATACTAATAATAATCAAGATATGAAAAATATTCACATGCATTCATTTCTAGACTCGATTGCTTCACGATCAGATGGTTTACAGTCGACGAGTAGTAGTTATTTACAACATCAACAACTACAACAACAGCAAAGTATCCTACAGTCTGGTCATTTAATGAAGCCTATTCGACAAAAAAGTGGTGGTAGTAGTAGTACTGGTGGTTGGCCATCATCGTCAAGTTTTGCTGATGATATTGGACATCGGCATAGTTCGCCTATATCCTCTCCAATATTAATGAATAATAACAATAATACTAATGCTAGTGCTAATCGATTTTCTTCAGTTGTTGGCACTTCGTTGGCAGGTGGTGGTGGTGGTGGACGTGTAAGTCATCCAGCTGGTGTAGATTTCAATACATCTGGACTAGCTAGTAGTGCTAGTAGTGGATCTACATGTGCTGGTACTTTCGGTGCGATTGGATCACGTGTATTTCATTCAATGGTTAGTGATATTGTGTATTTCTTAACTCTTTTTTTTGTTTTTTTATAATATTCCATGTTTGATTTGTTTTTTTTAAAACTTTTGGGACCATTGGATCCCTCTTATATGCCTAGACTGATTGGATTGATTGATTGACTGACTGACTGGCTAGTTTCAACATAGAACAACTTCACGCAGTAGAAGTGCATCAGTTCAACTCCACCACACTCCATGTGTAGCACACAAAGATGAACAAAAGAGGATATAGGAGAGATTGAAAAGAGAGATAAGGGGACAGAAGTGTGAGGGAGAAATATGATATGATAGGTCACAAAAAGTGAATGTATCTGCGCTAGCTAGCCATTGAGCACGAGGATTTTGAGCCATATCACCGATTGTCTCCAACCTTCAATGGTTTGGTTCTTAGCGTCCCAAGGACTACAACTAAGATGCCTACACCTCCTTACGTGGCCGTCTCAAACTAACTGTCAAATATTTCATTGACCGACGCCAGGCTTGGGTTTGACCTGATCAATCCTATGGGAGCTAACATTTCCTGTCGAGAAAAGCTGATGGCTAGGCATGTGGAACAGATGTTTCGTAGTCATCTGTCAATCGATTCATCTTCACAACCCTATCGACTAATTTTCCCTCCTTACCTAATTCTTTTTTATTCCTTTACGTTCCCATTGGAACATAGAGCGTCTTCAAGCTAGAGGCTTGGAGTTTCTGTTGCATTATTGATTATTTTAGCAGGTTGGGGTTGCTAGTGCCTCGTGCCCAACCTTCTTCTCTCTTTAATACCAGTCTTGCTACTGGTTTAGCGAAGTAAAGAAGTACGTCGACTAGGGATCGAATCCTGAACCACATAAGGTGTGGTTGGCGAGCACTCTACCACTGTGCCACCGACACCTTTACCTAATACTCAAGACATAAACTCAGTACCACTCACTTAATTATTCCATCTAACGGATGAGATCAAACTGAGACACTCATGATCAGTGACTGCTAGACAGCCTTTTTATGTCTTCTGCTTTCACTGGTCATATCTCGCTGACAGACATAAAGAGAAGGATGGAGTGAACGACTGGTGACCAACAGTACACACGTTCTTTGATCGATAACCACCTGGTAGATATCACGTCTACTAAGCCAGATATAATGTCAATTGGGAAAATACCACATAAGTCTTTCGTATCCGTGCTGAGATTTTGTCAGTGATCAGTCGATTGGATTTGATGAAACCTTCTAAATCAATGAATTAGTAGTATCAATGGGTGCTCTATCACTACTTCACTCCCTCTCTTTAAACTACGAGTGGATGTTTCTCATTTTTATGCAGAAATTTAGTTTTTCTGTGTCTTGCTGCTGCACATCGTTGCAAAGTTCTATGTTGAAACCAGTCAGTCGGTAAAACTATGGGTAAACTGGATTTCATTTAAAGTTTAGTCTCAGTGTTTTAAAAAGTGTTGACATCATGCATTATTTGACATACTTGACGTTTTGTTTTCATGTTCTCTAAATTCATTCAAATAATCTTCCCCTCCTCAAGGTCAAATGTGTTGATATCAGTAAGAGAATATTAACTGTGAATGAGGCTTTACGGTGGAATGTTCATTGCTGAATACTTATCTGAAGAGTAAAAATGAATACCTTGAAACATATTAGGTGTATTTCCTTTGCCTTGTTGGTTGAATAGTAGTCCACTCACCACCCACTGACCCGTGGAAAGTTCGGGTTCGACCGGTCCCAACCAATGGAAGCGCACTCCTACGCCTTGCGTAGTTCTATTATCTGGTAGCAATCCCGGACAAAGAGGAAAGACTGAACGTGAGGTTAGCAACAACAACAACAACTCCACTATTGAGACTTCAAAGCTGAGGCTTGTGTCCCACCTATGTTCCACCCAGGATGCATAGGAGTTTTTAAAAAAAGAGAAGTATTTTCTTCGAATTAGTAGAGGTGTCCGTGTGTGTGTGCGTGGGACCATTGACTCAAACACTCGACTTTCGGCCATCTCCAAGTACTTTTTTAACCTGAGTAACTAGGTGGTACCATCAGCCCTCTCTTCGTTTGTTATACACACAATAAGTGCAGCCCATACCGTGATACATGGAAATTTCTTTTGGGGATATCTGAGCTGTAGATTTTGATTTAACTTGTTGAATTGTTTGGACTGAGTTCCTGGAACAGCTGTGCTCTGATGGTACTACTACCCAGTCAGTTAGTTGCCCAGGATGAAGTAGTTAGGTGGTTCGGGATACAGACATGTGACCCACATACTAACTGAAAACCGAATACCTAAGCTGCCATTGAGCCACCTTTTTACAGAATAGTTTCTTTATTTGGTATATATATATATATATATTTGATTTACAGCTTGATTCCACACTGTATTTTCGGTACAAGTATGGAATTTTCAGCATGGATATCGGTAGCCCAAATTTTGCAGGCCGACCATAGATATCAGGTGTGCGTCGGTGCGGTCTCGAACCCCGGACCATGTGCATGGTCGACACTACATTTAAGCTGTGTATCCTTTCAATCGCATATTGTTCATTTCAGGAAGATATTTGATCTTGTATACATCTAAGTTTCGTGGTATTCGTAAGAACATAGGTCGTCAAATAGACGTGGGTGTACAGTTTGAGAACTTATGTGCACAGAAACATGATTGCCCCTTCGATACTGACGACTTTGGACGATTTAAATCTATTCAGTCACTACCCCATTTATTGATTAGTAAATTTCAGGGAGAAAAATCAGTTGTCAGATTTAGTCATGAACCAACATCATTTATAGAGATCACTGAAAGCCAGACAGTACTTTAACAGTTGTTTCGTCCTAATGTAGGGCTTTTCATCGGTGAAAATCCACGAACCCATCACCAGGGACTGAATTTCGGACCTGCAGGTTACAAGACAAAGCTCGTCGACCATCCAACCACTTGGGTGGGAATTCAATGAGCGAGCCGTCAATTCATGATACAGCACTACTCTCACGAAGGTGCCTTCGATGAGTATCCACTTCACGTTGACATGGTGGACCACCTGACTAGTCGCGACTTCTCAGTAGCACAACTTCAGGAGATATATTCATCCAATGGTCATCAATGAGCTGACAATTGGTGATATATTCATGTGTTATGTGATGTGGATTTATGTAATCTGTCCAGTGCTCCTTGGGGTCTTTTAATGATCTCTGTAACTGGTGTGGTGGTTTGTGACAAAGGCTAACAATTGAAATTAATTTTCTATAGTTTGGTTTGTAAGGGTTAGTTATGTTTTTACGACTTGATCACGGATTGATATCAGTTAGAGAACCATTGAAAACCAGGGAGTACTAGACGGCTGTTTCATCCTACTTTGGGAATCATCGGCAGTACTCATCCACCTCACTGGGATTCGAACCCAGGACCCTCCGGTTACAATAGTTCTCTAACTGATATCAATCCGTGATCAACTCTTAAAAACATAACTAACCTTTGCAAACCAAACCATAGAAAATTAGTCTGATGCTCGGTAGTAACTTGCTACAGGATGGAGTTTCTTGGAGTGAATTCTAGTGAGAAGTCGTGACCAATGAGGTCCATCCATATGTCACGTGTGAGGATGGATGTCCCACTGACGACACTGGTGAGATCGTTGAGGTCGATGCATCACGAATTGGTAGAAGTTAGAATTCATGACTAGGCATTGAATCGGATCCCAGTGGCTAAATGGCATACGAGTTAGCTTATCCTGTAACCGAAAGGTCCTGGGTTCTAACCCTGGTAGTGGGTGCGCACTGCCAATGATTCTCAAACTAGGATAAAACAGTTGGCTATCTGGCAGTACTCCAGTGCTGGTTTTCAATGGTTCTTTAACTGATATCAATCCGTGATCAACTCGTAAAAAAATTGAAATTAAAAAAATTTTCAAATCCCCACAAACCTCATAATAATCTGAAAAAGTCATTTTTTTAATTAAGTAGTGCTTGTTTCTCTTCTCAATCTGTTGATGCTTCCCTCCTCAATAGTCTACCACATTCACAGTAGGTAATAATAATAATATTATTATTTCGTAGTCTATATAATAAAAAGATCTATTTTGAACTATTTATTCCACCAATATAGTATATGCACAAACATGCTCTAAACTTTTGTTTTCGTTGTTATATTCCGGTTAAAAATCTACACTTTGTTTTGTTACAATTTGAACGAAAAATGATCGTTAGTGTTATAATCATAATAATAATAAAAATAATGGATAGGTAGTCATGTGATTTTTCTGCCACAAGGTCATCTTTGTATATCACCAATGTACTTCAACGAATTGTTGTTTGCTATTCTCGCTCTCTCTCTCTCTATCCATGTGATATATAAAAAATAGATGAATTTGATTGGTCTATTTGTAATGCGTTAAAAGTGCGTGTGTATTATATATCTATGTTATTATATTATAGTAGGGACGACGAGAGGAAAGTAAATGTACTTTACGTATATATATATCTTGATTTATCGATTCATAAAGTTGACTTTGAGATTTTCGATTTTTTTAAAGCTATAACGACATTGATTTTTATTTATTTGTATTGAAATTTTGAAGAACAAGAAAAAAAACCAATCAATTGGAGTTTTAGGTTTTAACGTCAATCAATCAAGGTGTATATAGCAAGGGGATTTTCTTTAAAAGACTAATCTTTCCATTATTCTCCTTTTATATATATCTTAATATCTTGAAATTGAATCTTCATATTCGTGCATATCAGCGTTGGCCACCATTGACTTGGTTAGTTTAATGAATGTTTAGTTCTCGGACATTGATATAAATGCCACTAATTCTGTGAACTACAAATCTTAGTTGTGAAGGTGGTTGGCTATTTGAGAAGCTTATTTATTCGTCCATCATTCATAGTTTTTGTACGCTGGTATTTGTCATTATATGTCTTGGGTTGTGTGGTATGTATTCGAATAGAATATGGGCTTTATCAATGCAGTTAAATAAGAAAGGTGTGAAACGTGATATTATGTGTGGTATTACCAAAGAATATCTTGAGTATATGGTGGGGAGGAGTGGGGGCGGAAAGTAGTATCTTATTTGTGTGTTTCATCTTCTTGGGATTCACATAGATCCGTGTTTATAAGTGTGTACACGTATTAATTGAATGAGGAATGCATCAAAATTGTTTTTGGTTAGGTATGCCTACTGGCCCCATTTTTGTTTAATTTTACCACGGTTGAATATCTTGTGAGACATGGCTAGGATACGTGTTGCGACTTTTCGTGGAGCAATGTTAGCCGACACAAGATTGCGTCGGGAAGAAGTTAGGGTTGAAGTTAAAGTACCATAACCAAAGTTAAGGTCTTTCAAAAGTCAACCTTTAAGAACAGATCAGACACAGGGAATGCTATGAAATATTCCTAATCAAACCATGCCTGCCCTTTTGGACTTGGAGATGATAGATACAGTATTCTACTTATTTAATAGGTACTTTTTCTGCGAATCTATGCTGTTAGGGTAGCGTTATGCCGTTCATGATTAAGGTTCAGGGTCTAGGGGGTTAGGTTTAGGGTTAGAGTTAGAAGTAGGTGAAGGAATAGTGTCAGAAATGTCAATGAATCATAAAGTACTATGACCCAGAGTCACCTGGATGAATGGGTATATCGCACAGGGTACGATTTCCCTATAGATGATCATCAGTGTATTGACTGGGAGACATTCTTACAACACATAAGCTACAATTTAACAGTGTAATATTAAGTTTGTAATATTTTTTTACTGTATTTCCTACGATTATGCAACTTTTTTGCACCTGAATTCTGATTGGTTGTTCAGCGTTATTGTGGTTTTGCTTATGACAGTTTAACTTTGTCAAGTTAGGTGTGCTCAAATTTAAACGTGGCATCAATCTGTGAAGTCAAGTAAGCCACTTAGAAAAGTGCAGACTGTGTTTAGTTGTGGTTTTCGAGACCACTAAGGACCAAATGGCGTTAGAATATATTGGTGTTATGGTTCTCAGGTCTGTTATGTCCCTACAATTTTGTCTATTCTCTACTTATTTCAAATTTTTTCCTTCACTTTTGTCGCCTAAATGGGGGGGGGTGGCAGCTTACAAGAGGTGGAAGTTACAGGATTTCATCATGTGCTGACATTGGTTAGAGAACCATTGGAAAACTGTTTCCTCCTAGTGTGGGAGTCTTCATCAGTACTCACTCACCGACAGGAAGTTCGAACCAAGGACGTTCTGGTTTCAAGGCGAGCTCATAGACCACTAAGCCACTGGGACCTGATCCAATGGCCTATGAATTCTAACTCCTGCCAATTCACGACATAGCGCAACCGCTAGCCACTGTCTTCGGTAGCGAGTATTTGTCCTCACACCCGGCTTCCCCACATATCGTGAATTGGCAAAAGTTAGAATTCATGAACTGGCCATTGGATCGGGTCCCAGTGGCTTAATGGTCTACGAGTTAGCTGGCCTTGTAACCAGAAGGTCCCGGGTTCGAACTCCGTGTCGGTGGGCGCGTACTGCTGAAGAGTCCCAAACTAGGACGAGACAGTCGGCTGTCCAGTACTCCCAGGTGCTTTTCCACTGGTTCTCTAACCAATGGCAGCTCATGAATCTGTTTCACTCTTATACTTATGAAACTCTATTAATTCTCTCCACTCATCTTGTCTACCTTTGTGTGCTACTTGGAACGTGGCAACTCGAACTGCTGCACTTCGGTGCCAAGTTCTATGTTGAATCCAGCTCATGATGAAATCCTGTAACCAATTCAGCAGGACTTCTCTTAGCCTGTATATTCAAAACACATTGCTATGAGAAATACATATAGAGATTCTGCGGTTATGATAAGTAAGCTACAGTGAATCAATCGTAGCATCATTTCCTAACATTTTATACACATAGAGTATAAGTAAATTAAAGTGAAGCCTGAGGAAGATATAATTGAAAATCATACTGTTCGCTTATATGTTGTATCAATTTTCAGGTTGCCTCTCTCTCTCTCTCTGTTTGATAACTGATTGTTTACTTTCGTGATGTAATCCATTTTACTATGTCACTCAACAACCACTGGCATTTTCATGCGTCTGACAAGCAGCCACACACCTATTTTATGAGGACTAACGTCATTACCTGACTGACAAAACCCTGGGCAGGTGGAGTTGGGATATGAACCCGCAACTTAGTGGTTGGAGATTGAGCGCCTGGAATAAATGAGCCTCAGCTCCCCATTTCCATTAGCACTGCATGATGAGTATTCAGCTGAGGTATCATACCAAAATTAAATCCTACCTTATTAACACATGTTGCTTTGTTTCAACTTTATTATTGGGAAGTAAATGTCACCTTCATAGCGGTTAGCACGCTCGCCAACCATGCACACGGTCCGGGGTTCGATCCCCGGCCGATGCACTCCTTTACCTCGCTAAGCCAGTGATAAAGCTGGTAAAGAGAGAAGGTTAGGCATGAGGCTAGCGACCTCATCCTGTAAAAATAAACACTGCTACAGAAACTTCAAGTCTTCTAGCTTGAAGCCTTATGTTCCACTGAGAACATGAAGGAATCAGCAGCAAAGGTCACCTTATGATACTGCAAACACAGGAGTTAAAAACTACTGGGCTGTTTCAGTGGTTCAATAGTAGAATGCTCACCAACCACACACATAGAGTCTGAGTTTGATTCCCAGCCGATAGAGGCAAGCACTCCTAAACCTTGCCTTGCCCACTCCCACCCCCTAGTAGGTTCAGTAATGAGAGTAGATTAGGCGTTAGACTGTGACAACTGTATCCCTTAAAAATAACACCATCGCTTCTGAAGCTTACAGCCCTATGTTTGATTCGGAACACAGAATAAACTTTATGCTACAAAGACCTCTGTTTGGGATGTCTACCGTGTCAACTAATTAGTGTATAGTTTTAAGTTCTAAGATTTCTGATAAATATTATCGATCATATCTTGTTATTAGCTACAGAATGAACAGTCTTCTTTAATTTTCTTTTATTTTATCTGTCTAGACATCAGAAACGACAGGTCAATCGGATAATAGTCAGTTAACTAGACCACAACAATGTTCAGAATGTTTAACTCAGGGTGGTGCTGCTGGTTCTGGTGCCTGTAGTGGTGGTGGTAGTATGAGTGGTGGTCATCATATGACGTCTTCAACTTCATCTCCAATACAAATTGATTCTGGTGCTACTGCAACTGGTAGCAGAACAAGCTCTAGGATTTTCTCTTCTCATTCAATAAATGAGAATTTCTCAAATTTACCACAATCACCTATTCTACTTTCGTCGCCGTTTAGTAATCCAGGTTGTGATCTAGAGCGGTTAACTCTACGCCGAGAATTAGATGAAATTCGACAACGTTTAGATTCGGTAAGTGATTTTTTTTAAGAAAAATTCTTTTCTTCTCTTAATGTTCATTTTTTCATTCGTTGTTTTGCTGGCATTATAACCTCTTTCATGAGAGATAAATTCAAGTTTGATCACGAACTGATCAGAGAGGTCCACCAAGTTGTGGATATGTGAACACAGCTCACTCATCGATGGCGTTGGTGGTCGGTCGGGCTACAGTTACGAATTGACGGAATTTATAATTGATGGGTGATTGGATCCTGTCGTCCTAGTGGTCAAGGGATGGTCAGTGATCGCACTTAGTAACCTGAAGGGTCTGCGTTCTATCCCTGGTAGTGTGTGGTCGTGGGTGTGTACTTCTGAAGAGTCCCTAACTATGACAAAATAACCATCCAGTACTTTTCTACTGGTTTTCAATGGTTGTTTAACTGAAGTTAGTTCTCGTAATAAGACTTGAAAGCTGTCAAATCAATACTTAAAAGTTATATTCACTATCGTACTAAAGTAGTTCTCCTAAGGTTGGAGTAAGCTATTTGCCAAAAGCCATCATCGGGCACCTTATATGTGTTTTAGTATGAAAGGTAGTGTGTGGTCCTGTTTTTGTCATCAACTTTCAGACGCTTACAGTTTCTCTGAGTCAGTTTGAACTTCAATGAATCTGGAAGTGAAATTATTTAAAACAACCACTTCCTGTAGTGCTGTCACCTTGGTAGTTAGTGATCTCTTTTCCTCCACCAGGGGATGCTTTAACGCTGCAATAAAATTATTAAAATGCTTCGCCGAACATACAGTAATTTAGTAACTTTATTGTTATTGTCATTATTCCCTTAAGCTCCGAGTGGAAGACAGGGCTTCAGAAACACATCTCCATTTTGCCGTCCATAAATAGACGTTGATAATGTGATGACTGGAAGTTCTTTGCCTGTATAATTGTCATAAATGCTGAAATGGTATGAGACTCATATTACTTTACAAAATTGTCAATGCGTTGGTAATTCAGCGGTAGGATGAATGCTTGCCAGTCAGTCAAACAGGAGGTCCGGGTTCAATTCCGTGCCGACGCAGTCCTAAGCCTCACCTAGTCTACTTAGCGGAAATAAGACAGAAAAAGGAGGAAGTTTGAGCGCTGAAGGCAAAATTACGGCTACTGAACCTTCGAAGTTCAAAGTCCTATGTCCCACTCGGAATGCCAAGAATGGGAAAGAAAACAACATGGCCTAGGAGTTTTAAGTTCATGGCCTGCTTCTTGATACGTATATATATATATATATATATATATATATATATATATATATAGTATCCAACAGAAAAAGAATGTTTTCAGCAGTTCGTTTGTAGGGATTTGATTTATTTCAACTTCAACCACGGATTGATATCAGTTAAAGGTACCACTGAAATCCAGAAGAGCGTACTGGACAGCTGTTTTGTCCCAGTTTTGGACTCATCATCATCAGTGTGTACCCACCTGATCTACGAGCTTGACTTGTAATTGGAAGGTCCCTGGTTAGAACCGCGGCTGGTGTGTGTGTGTGCTGTCGATGAGTCCCAAACTGGGATGAAACAGTTAACTGTCCAGTACTGCAGTACTCTCACTTTTGATGGTTGTCTGACTGATGTCAATCCGTCGTCAAGGAAATTTCAGTCTATCGTGTGGCTTAGAATCTCCTGTAGTTTTCACTGTGTCATATTGTTAATTGTTTACAATATTTCTTTTTAATAATAATAATATTATTGGTAATAGTTTGAATTCCGTGTTTTTTTTTCACATTCCTCTAATTCTTAGTTTTTATTGTTAATGTTTCTCCATTTACAGAAGGAAGGTGAAGTTGAAGTATTGAAAAAGCAAAGAGATTTTGTCGCAGAGCATTTACGTGATTCCCTTGGTGTTATCCGTCAACTATTTCATTCATTGAATATGTCATCGACTGCATCAACTGACCTATTCAAACCTTTATTTATCGATACAGAAACCAGTATGAGTAGTGATCAAAGTACTGGTGGTGGATGTTGTCCGCAAAGTTTATCCTCAGAATCAAATCCATGCGAAAAATTTAAAACATGCATGCAAATGTCACCAATGATGATGGTAACAAGTCCTAGTCCAAGTGGTCCTACTGATTCATTTAGTGCTGGTGGACGTAGTCAATTACAGCAACAACAACAAGAAGCACTAACAGCACTGTTCACTAATCCACTTGTATCAGCTCTTTTAAACACTCAAACAGATATCAGTGGAATAGATGCTTCAAAGATGAAATCGGAAACACAGGTTAGTCAGTTAGTTAGTTGGTTAGTTAGTGTCGTTAACTGTTGTCCAGATTTTGCCCTCTGTACTTATTGATTTTGGTGTATTTCCATTTTTTTTGTCGCGTACTGACCTCATTTAGAAGGAGTACTGGACAGCTGTTTCATCCTAGTTTTTGGAACAGTGTGGGGTCCCTTATTAATATATGTGTAAAACTTTGGCTATGTGGTAGCAAGTAATTCCATATTAGTTTGTTTATTAGATGTATCACACAGTGAAGCAGTATTATTTGAAGGATCACGTTTCGAACAAAATTTATTGTTGTTCATAATCACATCAATTATAATCACACGACTTCGAAACTTGAGTTGTATAGTCTTCTTTGTTCTCTCCTATTTGTCGCCGTAAGGATAGTAGAATTCTCCAGATATCCGTTTGGACAGGTGTTGAATCATTCCTATTACATGTATTCTCCTCAGTTGATTCGATAAACAAAGCTTCCGCTGTTATCAATCTCTCCCTCCACTCAGTGACATTAGATTTTAAAACTGTCATCCCATCCCATCCTATTGTATGGTTGTGTGTAACTGCATGTAGTGAGTGGTATGGCTGAACCATTCTCTGGATTTCTTATCTTATTCGGGTTAACCAATCTAGATTTTGTTAGGTTTTTATGTTCGGCTAGTCTGACTCCCCCTCTTCTACTAGTTTGGCCTATGTATTTGACCTGACAATCATTGCAGGCAGGGTATTAGATGAACTAAATTGTTTTGTTTTAAAGGCTCCACAGGATCCACATTTAACCGACAAAGCTTGTTTCTAATTGAATTTGTGGGGGGGGGGTTGAATACCAGCCACTTTTATTCCTGCATTGCTAAGAATTCTGCGTGAGGCTTGGGGTCTCTTCTACTAAGCTGATTGCATTGGCTACCTGTGGTGCTATATGCATATATATATATATATATATATATATGTATATATCGCACATTGATACAAGTTAGAATTCGATTCCATCTCGGTGACTGGGAATAAGCAACGCGTGGCCTTATATATAACCTACCTGAAGGTCGTCTTGGTTTTAGGTCATGCGTGCGTACCTCTGAAGAGTGCCTAAACTAGAATGGAACAGTCAGGCAGTAATTCCACTGTTGTGGTTTTCAATGCTTCTCTAACTAAAGTCAGTTCAGTTTTGTGATCATTCTTGAAATCAATTAGATCGCCTGCAAACCAACACGGCAAGAAGCTTTGGTCGATCTAGGTTTCGTGCTAGTTTGCAGGTATCTACAACCTTGAAGGAACCAGTGTCCTTTCTGAGATTCGAACCCGCGTCACCCAATGCTGCAGTCAGAGATGTTACCAGTGAACTATTCAGGCTCAGGACTGACTTCCTGTAGAACTGACTGTATTGGATAACCTTTGATTGGACTCTAATTAGTAACTAGTGTAATGTGTCTATTCCTTTGTTAACAGCAGACTGAGATCTATCAGTGGCGCACGGGTTCGAATCTCAGAAGGGACATGAGTTCCTTCAAGGTGGTTACAGATGCATCTGGCTGGCCGAGTGTCAACTGGCACAAAATCTAAGTCGAGCAAGGCTTCCTGCCTTTCGCCTCCAACCATTTCTACTATCAACAATTCAAAGTGCACCATGATGACGGTCAGCCACTCAGTAATGGCATGGTTTCCGCATTGCAAACTTGAGTGACAGAATTCAGTCTGTATCAAACAAAAAAGGACTACATACATATTAGACGACTAGTTACTAATTAGTGTCCATTCAAAGCTCAGATCTGTTACCTTTTCTGAATTTTTCGTCTATCCGTTTGGTGGAACCAATGAAATAGTAATGCATGTATGCTGATTGGCTGTTGTGTAATCGGTTTACTTTTGTTATCATATTTCTTAACCTCGTCTTCATAGCAGTATACAAATATATGCAGCTGTGAAACTCTAGAGATTTTTTCAGTCTGGCCACTGACACCTGCTAGCCTTTCCACTATACAAAGATTTAGCTCATTCGACATGAAACCATTTGAGATTCCTAGGTTCCACTTCTACTTCGCCTATTTCAGTTTAGGCAACTGGGTAGTATAGAGACAACAGCGGACTTGATGACACTACTACTGGAGAAGGTGTGGAAAGAGGGAAAGGTATCCGAGGTCTGGAAAAAAGGATATTTATTCAAACTTTCAAAGGAAAGAGACTTAAGTCAATGCAAGAACTGGCGCGGAATTATGCTCCTGTCCATCCCAAGCAAAATACTAAGCCGAATCATCCTGGAGAGAAATACACAAGCCATGGATGAAAAACTTCGACTGGAACAGGCTGGATTCAGGAGAAACAAGTTATGGATTGATCAACTCGTCACACTACGAATCATCATTGAACAGAGTTTGGAATGGCAGTCACCTCCCTACATCATTCAACTTCATCCACTATGAAAAGGCCTTCGATAGCGAAGCGTGGATCGAGAGGTGGTTTGCCGACTACTTCGCTACTACCAAGGGGTGCCGCTGACAATTATACATCTCATCAAACAGTTATACGACAATGCTGCATGGCAAGTAATCCACAACGGGAAACTTACGGAATCCTTGGAAGTGAAGACAGGCGTAATACAAGCTGGCTGGCTGCCTGCTATCTCCAATGATTTTCCTGACTCCGGCAGACTGGCTAATGCGAAAGACAGCGGCGGGGAGCGAGGAAACACGCATCAAATGGACCCTCATGAAAAACTTGGAGGATCTGGACTTCGCCAATGTGATATATGTCTGATTTCCCACTAACTGGAAGATATGCAAGTGCAAATCAATAAGTTGGCCATAAAAGAAGCATCAAAGATAAGACTTCAGATGAACATAGATAAAACAGAGGTGATGAAGATTCCTGGCTAACACCACCACCACCAACAACAACAACAACATGAACAACCAACAATCAGTATAAATGGAGAAAATCTGAAAGAAGCAATCTCCTTTACATACGTACCTGGGAAGCATCGTTTCAACTACAGGCTGACGGAACTGACGAAGATATCAAAGCAGCGAGGATCGAGAAAGCAAGACAAGCTTTCATTACTCTCAAGTCTGTGTGGATGTCAACATCACTCCACAGCATCAAAAATAAGATCCAGATTTCCAGCTCCAATATGAAGTCAGTCAGTTTTACTTACTATACGGATCAGATACTTGGCGTGTCATAAAGAGCACCTCAAACAAGCTAGAGAACTTCATCAACAGCTGTCTTCGCTCAATACTACTCAAGATCAGGTGGCCGGCCAGAAAAGATCAGCAATAGTGAGGGATCTCTGGGAGCGAACCAACCCAACAGGAATCGATTGTGCAATAAATAGGCAGGAAGAAATGGAGGTGGATTGGGTGGCCATACTCTGAGGAAACCATCAAGTGACATCACTAGACAAGTCATCGCTCGAGTGGAACCCGAAAGGGAAGCGGGGAGTTAGTTGGTCATCAGTGCAAGGGTGACTTGGAGGAGGTCATGTGAAGAGAAGATGAAAGCATGTGGGCAGACTTGGAGCCAGGTGAAAGCTCTAGCATAGAACCGAACGCAGTGGAAACATGCAGCTGAAGCCCTATGTTCCTCTAGGAATTAAAGGAAATAGTAATATTAATAATAGCTGGGTAGTATGATCAACACACACACACACACACAAACGCAATGAGTGGTGCTCATAGTTCGATAACTACTCCTTATCATTTTTGTAATAGTGCATGGGGCTATGCTACACCAAGATAACTGGATGAATAAATGTTTACACCTAGACTTGCGCTATTTTTATGAAATAGCACACTTAGTGATAATAATGTGACTTGTTGTCCCACTACTTATTTTAATATAATCTGCATTCAAATGCTCACGTTTTATTGTATATTGACGGTTGTGCAGTTTGTTGTTGTTCAATTGTGGGAATGATTGCCAACCATGTGCGCCTGTTGACCGGGTTTGATCCCTGGCCGACTGATTCCCGCTGTCGGCACTTAAAATTCAAAGCTCTCTCAGAAACACAAAGGAGTTAAGAGAAATGTTGACTGTCACAGCTAGTGTGTAGTATCTGCTATGTACAGGATAAATCCGTTCACTTTTTTAATTGTGTTGATTTCACCTTATTTCTGGATACAACTGTGTTATTGTTTTTATTCCACATGACTTTCATTCTGTGTTTTAATACAATGGAAAGAGAGAGAGAGAGAGAGAGAGAGAGAGCGAGGAAAGATAAAATTCTCTCTCACATTACCCCAATATGTGTATGATTGATGATTTACTTTTTCACGTGTAAGAAAAATACACTTTATAAGTACTTTATACATGTTTGTTTTACGTGCGTGTGTGCTTTGGCGTGATGTACTTTCTTTCAATGGATAAGGGCATAGTGTGTGTTACCTTAGTTACAGTTTATCTTTAACTTATTGTGTGTGTGTTTTTTCCGTATGTATTTGTTGTTGATGTGTTTTCGGTAGCCATAGAACAGAATGACGTGTGCCAGTCAGAATTAGTACTTCTTGCCTCTCACAACAACATCTCACTGGTATTGATTTCCTTTTTTTGTTTTGTTTTGTTTTCCCTTATGCTCTGAGAGGAACACAGAACTTGAAGTTTGAGCTTTGAAGTTTCATTGGCTGGTTGTAATGGCGTAGTTAGTCTCACGCCCAACTTCTCTTCTCTTACATGACTGGAGTACATAAACTGTTAGCTTAAAGATAGTGAGTGAAGTGGTAGTGCGTGTTGACCAACTTCGCTTATTTCTGTCTGTTTTCGACGTAGAACTTTGCACTGATGTGCAACAGTTCAAGTCGCCACACTCCATCCTTGTATCACACAAAGCAACAGAAGATAGTAGAAGAAATGCATAATAGAGAGAGTAAACAGAGGTGTGAGACAAAGGAATAGTAATAACGAAGAACAATTTAGTTTCATTGGAAATTATAAGTCACAAGGAGTGCATGCATCTGCGCCCGCCATTGACAACGATTTTGAACCATATCACCAATTGTTTCCAACCATTGGTTTTTACCGTTTCGAGGACCCCAACCAGGAAGTCTACATCTTCCTACGTGGCTTAAACTACCTGTTGTGGATTTCATTGACTGGTGCTATGATTTGGTTTGACCGCCGCTAGCTCTTTTTCAGCCTAACCCTATATCAGCTAACATTGCCCATTGTCGAGGAAGGCGATGGCTAGGAATACGTAACACATGTCCAAACCAGCTAAGTCGATGTAGCTTCACAGCCTCGTCGATTGATTTTCCCTTCTTACCTGGAACTCGACGCCTAACCTCAATATTGCTCACCTTATTATACCACCAGCTAATACGGGAGATAGAGCAGAGACACCTATGATCAAAGACAGCTAATCTTTTCATGTCTTCCACTGAAAAATGGTCAGGTCTCGCAGCCATAAAGGAGGACGGAGCGGACTGATGAGTAGTACACCCACCCTTTGGTCGATAACCAGCCGGATATGACGTCTACTAAACCAGAGACGGCATAAACTGGGATCTGCGGAAGTAGCCCTCTGTATTTGGGAAGTCGTATAGGCGCCAAAGAAATCTCAGCACGGATGATGTAGGATTGGATTGGAGAACAGCTAGTGGTGGTCACACTAAAGCCTGGCATCGCGATCCGTGAATTTTTGACTGTTAGTTTAAGCCAACCACATAGGAAGATGTAGACTGTCTGGTTTCGGCCCTTGGGATTCTAAGAACCAATGGATGGACGCTATTGGTGATATTGTTCCGAGTCATTCTGAATGGCGTAGATGCATTCACCCCGCGTGATTTTTCACGTGCGTTAAAGCCTATTGCTTTTGCACTTTACTATTCTTTCTCTCTCACACTTTAGCCTCTTATGGTTCTTTCGAATCCTTCTTTTCCTCTTTTGTTCATCTTTGTGAGCTATATGGAGTGTGGTAAGTTGAACTGTGACACTTCTGTGCAAAGTAGTTCTACGTTGAAACCAGTCAGTCAGTCAATCCTTTTTTTACTGGGTTTTCTGCTGACTAAGCGATGTTTAAGAGTGCGTTGGCCTTGAATCGACCCTGGACCAATTGCATGATTAGAATCACTGGCGCACAATTATTCACTGGTATAGGCGAGAATAATTGATGCTGTAATATATACTAGGACATGCAGGAATGTCGAATGACTTCTATTGTCAAGCCATAAGTCTAAAACTGAGACATAACGAATATCGTTACATTGATCTTCTTGTTTATATTCAAGCCTATGACTTTCCAACATTGTGATTGTAAAGCCATATTGTGGAACGCTTAAATTCTTCACAGGGAAAATATTTTATTCCATTCTGCGCTTCTCATTGAATACATCTGTTAATTCTCAGTAGTAGTCTGAGGTTAGTTAGGATTCAGTTACCCTGGAGAATATCTCATTTTTATTTGTTGAACAGTGAGTCTTGTTGTACAAGTGTTGATGATGATAATGAGATTGTAGGGGGGAGGGTGTGTCAGGATTCGAACTGGGGACGACGCACTTGCTGTACAAATCAAATGCTTTAATCAATACTCTTTAGCCTGAAATACATACACTAGCGCATTCATTTTGCTATCTTGTCGTTTGTTTTAAAATGTGTTTCTTTTCGTACATAAAATATTCCCTTAGGTGTCTATATTAAAAAAATGATGAATACTATTCCACTGTTCCTCGTCTATACCCTCACTCTCCATCTGTTGTAATATAGGTGTGTAGTGTTGTAACACCAGAATACATATACAATATTTTCTATATTGTTTCATGAGGATCGTTTATTTCTCGTCTTCGTAATTTAATCCATAACTCCGTTGGTCATGACTCTCACAAAAGAAGACTACATACTGTTGTAAGTAAGAAGAGATTTTTATTATTATTTCCTTTAATTCCCAGAGGAACATAGGGCTTCAGCTGCATGTTTCCATTGCGTTTGGTTCTCTTCTAAAGCTTTCACTTGGCTCCAAGTCACCCTTGCACTGATGACCAACTAACTCCCAGCTTCCCTTTCGGGTTCCACTCGAGCGATGACTTGTCCAGTGATGTCACTTGATGGTTTACTCAGAGTATGGCAAATCCACCTCCATTTCTTCCTGCCTATTTATTGCACAATCGATTCCTGTTGGGTTGGTTCGCTCCCAGAGATCCCTCAATATTGCTGATCTTTTCTGGCCGACCACCTGATCTTGAGTAGTATTGAGCGAAGACAGCTGTTGATGAAGTTCTCTAGCTTGTTTGAGGTGCTCTTTATGACACGCCAAGTCTCTGATCCGTATAGTAAGTAAAACTGACTGACTTCATATTGGAGCTGGAAATCTGGATCTTATTTTTGATGCTGTGGAGTGATGTTGACATCCACACAGACTTGAGAGTAATGAAAGCTTGTCTTGCTTTCTCGATCCTCGCTGCTTTGATATCTTCGTCAGTTCCGTCAGCCTGTAGTTGAAACGATGCTTCCCAGGTACGTATGTAAAGGAGATTGCTTCTTTCAGATTTTCTCCATTTATACTGATTGTTGGATGTTCATGTTGTTGTTTTTGATGTTGGCCAGGAATGTTCATCACCTCTGTTTTATCTATGTTCATCTGAAGTCTTATCTTTGATGCTTCTTTTATGGCCAACTTATTGATTTGCACTTGCATATCTTCCAGTTAGTGGGAAATCAGACATATATCACATTGGCGAAGTCCATATCCTCCAAGTTTTTCATGAGGGTCCGTTTGATGCGTGTTTCCTCGCTCCCCGCCGCTGTCTTTCGCATTAGCCAGTCTACCGCAGTCAGGAAAATCATTGGAGATAGCAGGCAGCCAGCCAGCTTGTATTACACCTGTCTTCACTTCCAAGGATTCCGTAAGTTTCCCGTTGTGGATTACTTGCCATGCAGCATTGTCGTATAACTGTTTGATGAGATGTATAATCATCAGCGTCACCCCTTGGTAGTAGCGAAGTAGTCGGCAAACCACCTCTCGATCCACGCTTCGCTATCGAAGGCTTTTTCATAGTGGATGAAGTTGAATGATGTAGAGAGGTGACTGCCATTCTAAACTCTGTTCAATGATGATCCGTAGTGTGACGAGTTGATCAATCCATGACTTGTTTCTCCTCAGTCCAACCTATTCCGGTCAGACGGAGATGCTATGGTTTTATACTCTTGTGGTTTCATAGTTCTTTTTTTTCTAAGTGAAATAGTATTGTGTAGTGTTTCTCTTCTTGGTTAATTCATTGGTCATATGCATCGCTGAGATGTACATGCCGTCATCCGACCAGTAGTGGTCTGTCGCTTGGGGTTATTTATGTATATATATATATTTTTTTTCCCAGGAGTTGTTGTGTAAGGACTAGTTTTGTTTTTCAAGTTTGACTACAAGTTGATATTAGTTGAAGAATCATTGAAAACCAGCTCTGGAGTGAGTACTGAACAGCCAATTGTTTCATCCTAGTTTTCGCAATCATTGACAGGAATCATGAATTGGTAGAAGTTAGAATTCATGGGCTGGTCATTGAGGAGTCGGGTCCCAGTGACTGAATGTTACATGAGCACTTGCCTGGTAACCGAAAGGAAGGTCTTGTGTCCGAACCCTGGCGGTGGGTTCGTATTGTCGTTGAGTCCCAGACTAGGACGAAACAGCTGGCTGTCCAGTACTCCTTTTTGGTATTCAGTGTTTTTCTAACATATATATATATATATATATATATATAATGACACAACTTACGTTTCTTCTGTAAAAGATATGTGACATGAACACATGTATGTTTTGCATAATATTACTGCCGTCAATAGTTCGTCACAAATTCCTTTTTACTATAATCGTGTCACTTTCTTCATTCTTATGCTTTCCAAGTAGGAAAATAGGGTTTCAAGTTTTAAAGTTTCAGTAAGGGGGTGATGTTGTATTCCACACCCCGCTTTGCCTCTTTTCCAAACTTACTACTAGGTTGAGGTTTAAGGAGGTGCATCAGTTGGGAATCGAACTACGAAACCTCCGTGTCACTGGTGCACATCCTATCTTTGGACCACCAATATTTCTTCACGAACTACTGAAAACCAGTGTGGGGAGTACTGGAAAGTTGTTTCGTCCTGTTTCAGGACTTTTCATTGATGCGTAACCATGACTCCACTGTCAGGGGTCGAACCATAGATCCTTGGGTCACTTGGCCATCCGGAATTCATTGACTCGTGAATTCTAACTTTGTCAATTCGTGGTTGCAAGGAGGGGGCTACTCTAACCACGGTGCCTTCGATGAGCGTCCACTTAACCTATGGGAAGTCTGACATTTGAGATTGAATTACTCCAAATTCCCGCAAATCCCATAATCTTAATATAATTTTCAGGTATTGGTTTTTGTAGGGATTTAGTTTGACTGATTGGAAGATTTCGTCATGAGATGACACCAGTTAGAGAACCATTGAAAAACCACCTTGGAGTACTGGACAACTGCCCTATTCAGACAGTGACCTGGGTTCTAGTGGGAAACCGTGACCAGTAGGGTGCAGTAGGTTGAAGGTGACGCAGTAACTTATTGAAGAAGACATTGCGTGAAGTGGCCGCGCTATTTCGTGCGTGAATTGGCCGAAGTTAGAATTCACGAACTGACCATTGGATTCGGTCCGAGTGAGTGACCTAATGGTCTACGAGTTAGCTCGCCTTGTGACCAGAAGGTCCTGGGTTCGAACCGTGGAAGTGAGTGCTTATTATGAGTATTGTTATTTTCGCTGTTAATCAATAAGTTTTGATTCATATATATATGTATATATATATATATATATTTACAAGAGAGGATTGTTTTTTGTTTAAAAATAATTTTAGTTTCCTAATTGGAATCCATTGGAGAATTACCCGCTGGAACACCAGACAGCTGTGCATAGATCATCTAAGCAATTATCGAATAATAATGATAATGATAATAATGATAATCCTCCTTATTCACCAACAACTCGTCTTCATACTGATGATTCTGATGACGACGACGACGATTTATTCTCTGCCTCTGGCTTATTATCCTTGTCCAACCAAGAATCGTGTGAATTAGAACGGTCTACAACAACAGACACTAATGAAGAGGATAGCAATGATAATAATAATAATAACAATAATAGCAACACTGGATCCACAACACACCACGACGAAGTGACGAATACAAACGCCAACAACTCTGACGTCATCTCAACCAGTTGTTGTGGTAATGACGAATCTTCTCCTTCTTCTTCTTCGACAACTGAACAAGCTGAACAATCTTGTCCAGCTACTAGTACGACGACTTCTGCTTCTACTGCTACTGCTGTCGCCGCCGCTGCAATCGCTGCCAGTACATCATTATTGCATAATTTGTCTACAGATAGTCAGCAGAATAATAATAGTAATAATAATGGTGACAAGAACATATGTCAGTCACCATCATCATCACCGAAAACGTCTACTGCAATTGAAGCCGACCAGTCTACTACTACTACTACTACATAAAGAGTATACTGTTTTCTTTTACCAAATCTTCTTTGTTATCGTCAATCATGCGAGAGAGAGAGAGAGAGACAGAGAGTATTACGTATGTGGACTACGTATGATTCGAGTTTTGTTTTGTGTTTATCTGTGTGTGTACTTGCGTGTGCGCCCGCGCGCGCTCACTCGCTTTATCACTCTAGGCTTTTTGTTTCTTGGTTCAATATTAGTAATTGTCCGTGTGTGTGTGTGTATGTGTGCGCCTATTGTTCATCGTTTTATTTTATACTCTATTTATGGATTGTTGAGAAACAGACGAAGCGAGGCGAGGCGAGACGAGACAAGACAAATTGAGATGAGATGAGGTGATGAGAACACTTTTTACTCGACACACACAGACGCCTACAAAAAGAAGAATAAAAGATTCAGATTTATTTATAATTACTACTATTATTTTATGTTTCTTAATTTCATATTAGTGAAATATTCTATTCATTTTATCATTATTACTATTATTATTATTATTATGGTTATTATTATTATTACTATTACTATTACTAATACTATCATTCTTATCATTATGTCATTGTATTGACATTAATAATTATCTAGGTGTTCATCTGGCATATATATACACAAACACACAGACACACTCACACACACACATCACATTTAATAATTATAGTCAGTTGAACAATTAACTAATAATCCCCTTCAACAACCATCATCTTTATCCTTTCCTCTCGTATACACACCACTGTCTGCCTGTTTCTTTCATACATATGTACGACAGGATTTCGGTGTCATCTAGCTTACATTATCTTCTATTATCATGATTATTATAGTCCATTATTGTTACTATATTCCTTATGCAGACAAAAAGCTGAACAGCAAAAAGGATAAAAGCCTAGACAAGTAAAACAATTTCTGCTTTTGTTTTTTTAAAATTATTTCTATTCGTATACATGTACACATATGACTCTAGTGTTGTTTCTTTGTTTGTTTGTGTTTTTCCCTTAAATTTTCCCATTTCTTCCACCCCACACCACACCACAGTCAGTAGCTTGCACTCCACCTTTATTAAATAGCCAGTCATCTCTTTATGCTTTTTTGTCGTATCCTTTCTACTATGTATTGTTGTTTGCTTGTTCAGTTTCTGGTCGTGGTGGTGTGGAGGAAGCAGCGTTCTCCTGTTTTTAAACACCCGCGTGTGTCTATCTGTCTGTCGGTGTGTGTGTGTAGTCTGTGTATGAATGGTTAATTGGATTAGTGTGGATTACTGATTCACTACTGCATACAGTCTTAGATAGTTATTATTATTATTAATACTATTATTGCTATTAATATTATGTGATTGAGCATTATTCATCACATCTAGTTCACACTGTACATGTGTTTGTATTACAATGTGGATATGACTAATTCCTCAATTAGGAGAAGGTGTTAGGCTTTTGTGGATAAGAAAAAAACCTGATTAGTATGTTTTTTGTTGTTGTTGTTTATTTTTAATCTTTTTTTATCATGTCTCTCCTTTGTTTTGCTGCTTCTTCTTCTTCATCGTCTTGCCCCATACCCTCCCTTCACCCACCCCCTCCCCCAGAAACACATTTACTGCTTTAATGGGTTTTTGTTTTAAAGTGTACGCTTTAATAGTGTTAGTTATATTTCATTTCTATTACATCACAAAAAAAAATTTACGCCAGCTAATGTATCTTTAAGTGTCAATGAATGAATGAATGTGTGTATGATTGCTTGTGTGTTGATGAGGTGAGGTGAGGTACCGTTGTTGTTAGCGCCAAAAAGAACCTGTGTTGCTGTCGTCTTTAGATTTATACTCTTTGTTGTGAAGTCGTTCTTTAACCTGCCCCTCTCTTTGTTGACCGGCTTTATACATATGTATTGTGTTTATTTTGACAAATTCTCCACACACACACACACACACACACACACACACAACAGGTACACTTTGCGTGCAAGTCATGCAAGCGTACACACCTGCCTACATACTACTTATTTCTAGGGTTATTCGTAGTAGTATCTGCCACATATGTGCACATATATACATCTATTAATGGGGTTTTTTCCACTTGCTTTTGAGATGGCTTGTGTAACATACTCTGTCTCTCTCTCTCTCTGCCTCCCTTTCTCTCAGCGCTGGTGGTTGGTTACTGGTGTGTGTGTGTGTGTGTGTGTGTGTGTGGTGTTTTAGTCCTCTATTCATGTTATTTTATATCCATCTTATCGTTTAGTCAATTATTATTATTATTATGATTAAAGATTAGCTTTTATTGTGTTTTTCCCTGGCGTGCGCGTAATTTGAAAGTTGTCAAATATTTTCTGACACACACACACACATGTATTTATAAATGCGCTCAAATTAGTGTGATTTTTATTACACTAATTCTAGTGGTAGTAGTAATTAAATAATAATTACTATTATTATTATTATGATGATGATAGTTTCATATACAACACACACACACATCCGCATGGTTGTATAATTGTGTTGTTGATACGGATTGCTGTGTCACTCACTGACTCACTCACCGCTTCTCTACATATTCCTATTCTAGTATTCTACGTCTTATGTTGTCGTCTACACTGAATGCAATACCAGTCAGTGTATATATATGTGTGTATGTACACGTCGGATGCTTTGCTGTTTTCTTCACCTTATTATTATTATCATCATCAAATTAACATTCTTTGTTAATTATGTCTAATGTAATAGAAATGTGTATTGGACAATAATATGCCTATATTTGTACACATGTGGTGGTTTTAGTCATTTCTCATTATTATTATTATTATTATTAATTGAGAAAGAACCGAAACTCTAGGGGATGTTCCTTATTTGCTGTTGCTATTGTTGTTATTATTATCATCATTATTGGTTTATTTCCCTTTCTTCTTTTTCAAGAATTTCACAGTAGTCTTTCATATGTTGATGATTTATTGTCATCATCATTACCGTCATCATCATCGTTACCGTTATCGTCGTTATAGTTTGTTTTTTGTTTCTCTCCCCTTCAGCCCCGAACTCCCTCTTCGCCGACTAAGATTCTATTCTTCTGGGGGGACACACACACATACACTGGTTTTGCATAATCAGTACTGTGTATTTTTGTCATTATCGTTCATCTAGAAGCCATCTCTCTGTCTATCTATGCCTGTGTATGTGTGTGTGTGTGTATTTCTGTCTGTATTTCTTATGCACTGTGTTCTGCCAACTCTCTTCTTCATTACTGCTAGGGTTTCTCTCTCTCTGGCTCTCTGCCTCCCAATTAATTCACCTTGGCTGCATACATTTTGCTTTCCTTTTTCCATTACCATACTCTCAGGTCATATTTTTTCATGTTATTTTTCTGCATTACATCATCTCAATTTGATACTTTCATCATTTCTGCCTTTCCCTCTCTCTCTTTCTTCTCTGTTTGAGTACTAATTTTGACGGTTTGTTTGTTTTGTCATTCTAGTTGTCAACGGATCATCAAGCAGAGATAATAGGCAAGCAACCAAATAACCCGCCATGTTTTTATTGTGTATTTCTCTCCCCCCCACACATACACCATCTACTGAATATATATTAGACGAATTCTCCAACTCCCCTCGCCTCAACTCCCCCCTTCACAGTTGATTTGTTTTTATTGTTATTTTGTTATTTTACTTTAAATTGTGTTTGTATGTGTGTTGTCCGTGAACACCACCACCACCAAACTAGCAGCAATAAATATGATTCAAAGAGAACAGATGAGATGTTTATATATATATTTGTTGAACATTGTATTACAGTTTCAATCTCTGTCTTGTTCTTGTTGCTTACACTCTCTGTCTCTTCTCTCTCTTTTCTACATGTTCATGTGTTTGTGTGTGCGCGTGTGACTGTGGACTCTGTGGCTTTGTATACTATTTTTCCACTCTATTTTGTTCATTAAAAAAATATTGTTATTATATATACATGAGTGTTTATATATATATTGCCTAGTATTGTTGTTGCTATCATGTTTATCTACAGTTCTTTCCTTTCTCTCTGATGTGTATATTGCAATAACTTCACACTCACGCACTCACCCCTCCACATACTCACAAAACATAGATCAAGTCGAATCATCATCTCAAAGTGAAGTACGCGCCTTTATTTATTTATTGATTGATTGATTCATTATTCGAATATCTTTCTGTCTTTGTTTGTTTTGGTTTAACTTCTTCTGGATGACATAATTCATAAATTTCAGATTTATACTACTATTATTATTATCATTATTATTGTATTGACGCTTTTTCTTTTGTTTTTACAAACGTTTTCAGATTCATTGATTTCCTTGTTTCCTTGTTATCGCCACCACCTCGTTGTAGAAGAGTTAACTAAGATTTTTATCATTAACGTTTATTTGGTATTATTATGATTCTTGTTGTTTTGTGTTTTTATTTTTCAAATTATATGCGCCTATTTGCATGCATGCGTGCTTGCGCGTGTACCTACGCATGTATGTGTGTACGGGTGTGTATGTGTGTGTGTGCGTGTGGTTCCAATCTTGATGATCAGGATTTATAGGTGGACATGTTGAACAAGTTCCTTCCTTAATTCTTTATTTTCTTTTTATGCGGCTATTATGAATATTATTATTGTTCACATATTGATTTATGCAAACATGCACACATTCACATACACTTACACAAAATGAAATGAGTTATCCTCAGTGTTGTTGTCGTTGTTCTTCTTCTTTGTCTTCTTCTTGTTGCTTCTACTGCTGCCGTTGCTCTGTGTACTTTCACCTTTGTGGCTTGTTTTTTGTTATTGTTAGCATATGTGTGTGTGTGTGTACACAGAGGGGAGAATAATACTCATGTACCTGGTGTTTATGATTTTTAAATTATTATTATTATTACTATTATTACGCTTTACTCTAGTAGTCGTTTATCTGATATGAGAGAGAAGTCTATGAACATCGAGAATGGGAGATTGCCAAGAAGACCGGGGGAGGGGGAGACACATACTACTAATATAGTACACTTACACACAG